AAAAAAAAAAAAAAAAAAGCAGCATCCCTGGGTTTTAACACCATATGGATAGGTTAAACTTTACCTTCACGTATAATATCTTAACAATCAAGATCACAGATTTAATAACTAATTTAATAAACAAAAGAGATTACAGCTCCCCTTTAAGGTCATAACCTTCCCCTACTTCCTGGCAAGCAGCATAAGCAAAGGTCTACTTACCTTTATAAAGCTTTGCATCCCAAAGCATTAACCTACTTATGAGACAGGGATTCTCAGAGTCAGGTTCTTCCCTAAGGCATGCTTGGCAAAAGATCTGCCTAAAGTCACCTACAAACAAAAGACGTCACATAATTTTTATTCTTATAATATTGCTCTTAAACATATATCACCTATGTGAAAAGACTTACATTAATCCTCCACACTTGATGCCAAGAATAACTGTGTCAACATCAAAGATTTAAGAGCCAATAAAAGATATTATTTGATATTGTATTTCAAATAATAACCTACAATATCATACATCTGAAATAGTATCCTACATTATGCATTTGAAATGCAATCCTGAAACTTAATCAAAATGTATAAACCAAAAAAGAAAATTTATTTTATACTCAATGACATTTTAAAATTTGTGGCTATAAAGAACACAGTACTTTATTAGAAATAAAAAAATAGCTATATGCTTACTTGAATAGCTCATAATTTTGTTCATCCAGGAGCCAAGACGCAAAGCAAATTTCTGATGAGCCATAACCTCAGAGTGTAACACTTCTACATGAAGTGGATGTTGAGAGACATTTTCTGAATGACTCTACAAATGAAGGGAACAGTAAAAAAAAAACAAGAAACTAGCATTTAAATTTTGCTTTCATTTAAATGATCTATCCCTCAAAAAAAAAAAAAAAAATCACATAACCCTGCCAGTTCCAATCTCTGTATCTAAGTGCCCCAATCCTCTCTTTACTTAGGATGTCAAACCACTTCAACAATATGATCACTCTAATCACTCTACTTGGGCTCTTGTAATCAACATTCCTCTTAAAAGTCTCTTTTTGTCCCTAATTCAGAAAGTTACCTTTATATCTTCCTTTGCTTCCTGGCAAGCAGAATAAGCACCTGCTTTAACAGCCCGGCGACCCTAATTACAGACAAAAATGAGAATTAGGTAGTGGAATGATAACCACAATCAATGAGTAATACATAGTCCAAAGACCTAATGAGTTCTCAATTATTAATCACTTGACTAAAAGTTGTAGGAATCCAGGACAATATCTAGAAGACAGACATAAATGTTTAATACCTTTATGAAGCATCAGAACTTTCAATTATAGAATAGGAAAGATGTTCTATTATTTAGGATGTTGGATTTCTTGCCTGGCAAGAATGCCAGCTCTTTACTTATTGTAGTGTACTCTCTATTTATATCAGATAAGAATGACTCAGGTTTACTAAACTCCTGCTATGTGTTTTAAATACTTTGATAAATGAATTTAGAGCTCTTCAATGTGTGTTACATAATACATTTGTGGTCCATCAATAGGTTGGGAGTGTAGCCGGGCTATTGATTCCTCAAGCCCTGAAGGCAGCCAACCAAAGTCTATGTAGGACTTCGTTGTGGCTCATTCTTTTACCCACCTGTAAAAATTTACCATTTTCTATGTGTGCCATGTGAAAAAAGTCAGGAAGTGCTGTCTTCCTCATTCAACCTTTACAATGACCCAATAAGGAAGGTATCCCTACTTTATAGATTTAAAAAACCAAGACACAAAGAGATTAAGTAATTTGTCCCCCAGTCAGAAAGTTAGTAAGTGGTAGATTCAGGAATCCGTGACAAGTAGTCCATCTCCAGAGCCTGCACTTCTAACCATCCTATAATATTCCCTCTTTAGCTCCTCAGTATGTAAGTATAAGAACTACCTGAATATATTTGGACTATTAATTACATCAGTAAGGTTGTGATTACAGAGAAAAAATACACAAAAAGCCAAGCCGTAAGAGATTTTAAAAAGAACAGATAAGATAATAACTATATACCCAAAACACAAGGAGCTTATACACATGATGAGATTCTGGCAATCAACCTAAAGCAGTGAATCTCAATATAAATGGGGGGAGGGGAACAATATCACACCCATTAAAATGGCTGCTATTAAAAAAACACAAAATAACAAGTACTGACAAGGATGTGGAAAAACTAGAACCCTTGTGCACTCCTGGAGGAAATATAAATGGTGCAGCTGCTATGGAAAATAGTATGGTGGTTCCTCAAAAAATTAGACATAGAATTCCCATATGATCCAGCAATTCCACTTCTAGGTGTATACCAAAAGAACTGAAAGTAAGAACTTGAACAGGTATTTGTACACCCATATTCATAAGGGCATTATTCACAATAGCCAAAAGGTGGAAGCAACCCAGTGTCTATTAACAAAAGAACAGATAAATAGAACGTGGTACACACAAGGGAATATCATTCAACCTTTAAAAAGAAGAAAATCCTATCATATGCTACAACATGGATAAACTCTGAGGACATTATGCTAAGTGAAATAAACCAGTCACAAAAAGACAAATACTGCATGATCTCACTTATATGAGGTATCTAAAATAGTCAAGCTCTTCAAAAGTAGAGTTGATGGTTGCGAGGGGCTGGAGGGAAGGGGAAAAGGGGAATTGTTCAATGGATATAGAGTTTCAGTTTTGCAAGATGAAGTTCTAGAAATCTGTTGCACGACAATGTGCATATTAGTTAACACTACCGAACTATATACATAAAAAAGATTAAGATGATAGATTTTATGTTATGTGCATTTTACCACCATTAAAAACTTTTTTAAATGACCAAAAGCATGGGGGGGTGGGAGTAGATCAACTGGAACGAGGTAGTTTTTTCCAAAATACATAGGCATTGCTTTCCCTTTTTCTTCCCCATACTCCCAATTCTAATGTATTCGGCTTGTGCTCACATATCTACTTTGAAAAAAAAAAAATCTTCCCATGTGATTTCTCATAGGTTTCCTTTATCCTCATATTATAGCTAAAAACATAGAACTACAAATATATATCTTTATGAATTTGTAAAACAGACTAACTGCAATATAATCTTATCTAGCCAAAGAGTATATTTTTCACCTTAATGTGGTGTACATTATCTCATATCCTATTTTACCTTTCGAATGAGCATGTGATCATTTATTAAAAAGCTTTTCTTGCAATCACTATCACCTATGGAGTCTTGGGACCCCAAAACAAACCAACCTACCACTAGGTAGGTTAGCTGTGGCCCCAAGTCATCTCCATTTTGACTATAGAGGAGAGCAATAAAGAAGAAAAGTGGGAAATGGATAAAGGATAGGCAGAGATAGAAGAAAGACGTTGGGAGACCAAGATTTTTCCATTCCATATGAAAACCAACAAAGCCCAGCCCTATTCTTTCCCACCAACTCTTTTCCTGGAGAGTTGGTTTACCATACTGTTACATATTTTCTCAGAGTCCTAGGATCACGGTAGTTCATAGTAATACTTAGGAATAATATATCTTGATATTTATCAAGATTTTCTCTTATAATCTGCAATGTTAACCTTATACATAAGATGGCAAAATGTGGAATTGGAAAGACCACCGCTACATCTTCAAAAAAAAATTTTGGGGCCGGGCGCGGTGGCTCACGCCTGTAATCCGAGCTCTCTGGGAGGCCGAGGCGGGTGGATTGTTTGAGCTCAGGAGTCCGAAACTAGCCTGAGCAAGAGCGAGACCCCGTCTCTACTAAAATTAGAAAGAAATTAACTGGACAACTAAAAATATAGAGAAAAAATTAGCCGGGCATGGTGGCGCATGCCTGTAGTCCCAGCTACTCGGGAGGCTGAGGCAGGAGGATCACTTGAGCCTAGGAGTTGGTGGTTGCTATGAGCTAGGATGACGCCACGGCACTCTAGCCCGGGCAACACAGTGAGACTCTGTCTCAAAAAAAAAAAAAAAAATTTTTTTTAATGGCAGCCCTAGCTGTTTAAAATTTTCTTGATTGCCTGTTTCTTTCATAAGAATGGCAGAGAATAATCCTTTGAAGGCAGATTCAATCTGACTCATCTTTATATTTCCTCAAAGTGCTTTTATAAATGTTTAGTGAACTGATTTAGAGCATCACATTTTAAGAGGGTCTTTGACACACTGATATTTATCTGCGGGGAGAAGGTAGAGAGAAGGAAACAGAGCTTGACCAGTGTAAGCTTATTAACACAGCACAAATAGTTGAAGAAAACAGAAGAAAGCAGACATAAGAAATTATAGATTTCTTAAAAACTATTTGATGGGTTGCCATCTGAAAGCACAAGATCTTTCGTGGGTTGTTTTACAAGAACTTAGTCTGAAAATATATGGAGACACATTTTGGCTGAACATAGGAAAAAAATGTTTCTAAGAATGAGAGTTGTCCAACAAGCAGTCAGATAGAGAACTAAACTCTCTAAGTACTCAAGCACAAGTTAGAGGATCACTGGCCAGGGATATACTGTGCTCTCAATAAGAGGATGGCCAATTTCAATGGTTTTTCACTACTTCCTATCTTACGTCTTAATATATACTTTATCAGCAAACAAGGTCCTACCACAACAAAAACAAAAAGTTCCATTTTTCCCCTAAGAAGGATATTTAAAGTTTATCTGTTAATGCCTTTGTGATTATAGCCATCTGATGTTTTCCTCAATGAGACAGGGTATAAATATATATTTAATAACTGTGATAATTCCAAACCCCAAGTAGACTTTACTTTGTACAACTAATACAGCAGTTGAAAATCACAAGCCTGACTGACCTTTAAAGTTCCTTCTATGACCTATAACTACAGTGTAGCAATAGTAACATAGACACTAACACTTGGCCTAACCTGATATCATTCTGAGGGACTAAAAAATGTTTGCTAAATATTCCATTTCATTTTCTTTTTTTTCCTACTCTTTCCTCTGTCTTCCTTCCCTATCTCTATTTTTCTCTTCTTTCTTATTTTCTTTACCTTCTTTTCTCTTCCCTTTCTTCCTCTGATTGGCTCTCCTTTCTTACAGTCTTCCTTTTCTTCTTGCTAGATCTTCCTGCTAGATCTTCACTTTTCTTGTGTTTTTCAGGAGTGCCTTACCTATCTCTCTTTTTCTCAATCTTCTTAACCATAGATAAATATAGCTTTCAACCATTCCTCCTGAAACCCACTCATACTCTTATGCTCTCCAGTTCCTTACAATAAATCTGATTTCAGGAATCTATCAACCACACAGTAGAAAAAAATTTTTAACACTTTCGAGTCGTGTTGAATTATAAGTAATCTGGAAACACAGTCAACCTGAGACCAGTAGCCATTAACATAGATTTACTACCACTACTTGACTATGTCTAACCTACGAGGGCACCCAAAACTTAGAGGAGTGAACACAGTTCATGTTTATATGCTGATCCTATCAGTAAATAACTGATCTCATTAGCCTTTGAGCAAAGAGAGAATTCTTTATATAGAAGAGAAATGTTGGCAAAGACACGCTATTCAATATGTGGTCCTTACACTGGGAGTATCAAAATCACCTGGGAACTTGTTAGAAATGGAAAAACCGCATACCCTACACCAAACCTACTAAATCAGAATCTACATTTTTAATAAGATCTCCATAGAATTCACATGAAAATTAAAGTTTGAAGAGTAACATTCTAACCAGAATTTTCATGTCCTTGGAATAGGTTATAGGTATGCCGAGATATTGATCGTTAGTTCTCCAGGTACTAGACACAGGTTTATGAAATAGAGATAATAATAATACCTATCTCAAGGGGTTGATTTATAGCTATAAGGATTAAATGAGATATTACACACAAAGTACACCATGCCTGACACACGTAATTGCTTGGCAAATGTTGGCTCATATTATAAACTATTCATATACTCTTTTTTTCACTTTATTTACTCTTTCATTAATGATTTGCAATCACATAAGACATACATAAGAAGCATAGAGAAAGGAAGTTAACCACCTGTTCTAATTCTATACTAAAACAACTGTTTAACTATGATAAACACACACGAGAAATCTAAGTTCTAATGAATTTACCTAAGATGTAAGAAATAAAGGGAGAGAATGTGCCTAACACAATACTAAGGCACTTGGCAAGGGCGCAGTCAACACCTGACTGCCAGGAAGCTGATGTGAGACAGCAGCATAATTCAAATGGAGACCACAAACCTCTTTGTCTATGGCAGTAGTATGCAACTGGGCCTCTGCAAGCTCACAGTCAAGAGCTCTTTGTAGGCTGTATATGACATGGTCATATGAATGGTGTTCATCATTGAAAAGGACACAATAGTATCTTTCATTTTTCTCCCTGTTTAAACAAAAAGATATATATTCAGACACTGCAACCAATAAACAAAGGAAAAGTAAAAAATAGACAAAAATAATATACAACATCTGAACTGAAGCAGCACCATGTAGTTTCCTACATTTGGCAAAGTAACATGGTAATACTAATATAGAAAATGATTTTAAGTGGTATAGTGCCATGGATCTTTAAAAACCCTGATGAAAATATTACCTTTTTCATGTTTTTCCTCCTATTTTTCTTATTACTTTCAGAAGTCTCAGTTTAATAGCTGTATGTCTTTAATATCCCTCTTAACTCTTGTTCATCTCCTATTCTGACAAAGGGGGACAGGCCTCAGGCTCAGAACCTTCAAGCAGGCAATGATAAATAATCAGATTTTATTAAACATTTAGTTTTACTGAATTTATTTTTGTTTTTACCTTCTATTTAAGTGATGTAGGTATTATGCTACATTTCAGTTACTTTTTTAAAAAAGGTATATAATATAGACTTAAAGTGCCAGCACTCCCATTTTGGCAGTAGACCTTAGATAGGTCACCTAATCTTTTAATTTTACTGAGATGACAGTGTCTCTTCCATCTATAAGAAGACCATAATATCTACATTCAAGAGTGGCATGAGGATCTCATAAAATATGTAAAAACAGCTGCCATGGGCTACATGTATGTTACCAATTTTAAACAGTTTATAGTATGTTTTTGCAATATACTCAATTGACCTCATAACTCTAAGAGGAGATTTTCCCAGCCTTCTTATAGTTTAGTAAACAGAGGCTCACAGGGTTTTAAAAGACTTATCCATGGTCACGCTGCTAATAAACAGTGAGAGGGCCTAGAACTTAGATCTGTGAATCTGAAGACCACTGCTACCCACGTACACAATGAGACTTGAGCAAATCTCCTTTGTTTGGTAAGCAGATGGCTCGTTATGTTCACCAACATAAAGTTTCCTAAAAGGTTTAACTGACATTATCACCTATTTGAAATTAAAATATTTATGGATACAATTTCTCATGATCTTTATTTTCCCAAGCAGTTTATGGCCAAACAAGAGTTAAAACAATACATTTATTGTCTCTATAAACTAGAATTCTTACTTCTCTGTCCTAAACACAAAACAAAAAACCCAGTAAACTCAAAGAACAATTGTATTTATATTTGTGCTATATTTTGTGAAAATCCTAATACTACGTAGGCAGAAAAATTCCCACAAGGTTCAAACTGTATCTTCATGTGAGTCCAGAATTCCTTTTTACATTTGTAAGTTAAGAGTAAATATTACTGTCACCAAAAGACTTATGGCTATTACAAATTGCTGAGTTTTAGGTAAAAAATGTTAAATTCCTACAATTTCAATAATCCTAGATACCAAAGCATAGGAGAAAGGGTTATTTCCTCGTTCTCCATCAAACTTTTCTTGATCACAAAAAGAGCTAAAAACCTGGGATAAAGGGAGATAAACCATTCCAAAGTCCCTGCCTTTGTTCACAAACCTTTTGGGGAAACTAGAGTCTAGTCTAGGCCAGGATCAAATTGAGCAATTTACTTATCTACTGAGATGAGAGGCTGTAGGTCCTGATAAATCATTTAGAACAAGACTCCAAAAATATTAATTTTTCCTAAAAATTCAAAGCTCCTGTAGGCTCTTCTTTTTGTATAGTGCCTAGTAAAACATCTCATACGAGGCCTGTCTGGAAAGTATCCAGCCATGTAATATGAAAAATATATTAACAATGGCTGGATACTTTTTGGACAGCTCTCATATAAATGGACATTTTGAAAATATTCCCAAGAGATAATTATCTATAAATTTTTCATATCGATAATATTAATAAATCGAGAAATAAATAACAACAAAAACAGTTATCCGACACTTATTTTGCAATATAAATAACCATTGCTAAAACTTATCACTTTTGACAATTTACCCCACCTTATCTGGAGTTCATGAGGCAGTTCTTTTTCTTCTTCCCATATAGTCATTTCTACAATGTATTTTATCACTGAAGGGAATATTTTTCTGGCTTGGGCAATTACCTCTTCATTCAATGGGCAACGTGAATTCTATAAAAAAGCAGAGAAAAACATACTAACCAAGATTGTACACAAATAAATGGATGAGGAAGGTAATGTTATTAATTTAAAATAATCACTATAATAAGTTCATTATCAAGTCCTCCAGGAATGAATTCAAGTTGATCTCAAGAGGGTTGGTATTCATATCAGTATAGCTTAACTCCTTGTGGCCAAGTTGGTGTTACAGATGACAGAAAGAAAAGGAGGCAGATCATGGAGCCCCCCTATTAGTAAAACTCTCCCTTATGAATCTTCTTCTCTGTCTTTCTGGGTAGCCTAATTATGATAATATCATATAACAATTAGTTATCCCTTATAGCTTACAAAAACTTTTCTCATAATTTGTCTCAACAGATCCTCATGACTACTCCTCTGTAAAAAGACAGAACAAGTATTAATGACATTTAAAAGATAAGGAACCGGCCGGGCGCGGTGGCTCACGCCTGTGATCCTAGCACTCTGGGAGGCCGAGGCGGGCGGAATGTTTGAGCTCAGGAGTTTGAAACCAGCCTGAGCAAGAGTGAGACCCCGTCTCTACTAAAAATAGAAAGAAATTATCTGGACAACTAAAAATATATATATAGAAAAAATTAGCCGGGCATGGTGGCACATGCCTGTAGTCCCAGCTACTGGGGAGGCTGAGGCAGGAGGATCGCTTGAGCCCAGGAGTTTGAGGTTGCTGTGAGCTAGGCTGATGCCACGGCACTCTAGCCCGGGCAAAAGAGTGAGACTCTGTCTCAAAAAAAAAAAAAAAAAAAAAAAGGATAAGGAACCCAGCCAGTCACAAAAGGACAAATACTGTATGATTGTGCTACCATATGTAGCATCTAAGTAGTCACAATCATAGAAACAGAAGCTTAAAAGGTGGCTGCCAAAGGCTGGGGACAGGTGGGAATCAGTGTGTGGTGGGTATAGAATTTCAGTGTTAGTAGAAAAAAAGTTCTTAAGATCCATTACATAACAATGTGAATATACTTAGCACTACTGAACTGTATTCTTTTTTCTTTTTTTTTTTTTTTTAGAAACAGAGTCTTGTTGTATCACTCAGGCTGGAATGCAGTGGCATCATCATAGCTCACTACAGCCTTGAACTCCTGGGCTCAAGCAATCCTCCTGCCTCAGCCTCCCTAGTAGCTAGGACAACAGGTGCACACCACCTCTTTCTGACCATAGTGGGAAAGCATCCAGTATTTCAACACTAAGGGTATTAGCTGTGAGTTTTTCAGATGCCCTTTATCAGGATGAAGAAGTTCCCTTCCATTCTTAGTTTGCTGAATATTTTTATCATGAAAGAGGGTTGGATTCCACCAAATGCTTTTGCTGCATCTACTAAGATGATCATGTGGTTTTGTTTTTTATTCTATTTAAATACGACGCAATACACAATCGTGTATTACACTGATTGCTTTTCAGATGTTAAAACTATGTAGTTCATATTATATAATATGAAGAGTCTGTTTTTTTTGGAGACAGAGTCTCACTCTGTTGCCCTGAGTAGAGTGTTGTGGCATCAGCCTAGCTCACAGCAACCTCAAACTCCTGGGCTCAAGCAATCCTCCTGCCTCAGCCTCCTGAATACCTGGACTACAGGCACACACCATGATGCTCAGCTACTTTTTCTATTTTTAGTAGAGACAGGGTTTGCTCTTGCTCAGGCTGGTCTCAAACTCCTCAGCTCAAGTGATCCTCCTGCCTTGGCCTCCCAGAGTGTGAGGATTACATGTATGAGCCACTGCAGCCAGCCTGAAGAGGCTTATTATGTCATATCATTTTACTATTAGTGATGATGTTAACATTAATGACTGGTTTCAGTTGATGACAGTAGGATACCTCCATTGTAAAGTTTTGTTTTTTCCCCTATGACTAGCAAGTAATGTATTACTGGTGAATAATTTAGAAGCATGTGAATATTATTTCTCATCAGCCTAAGTTTTAATGGTTTTAGCAACCATTAATGATCCTTGTCTGAATCAAATATTTCCTTAGAGTTTACAAAATACTGACTTTACTAATTCTATCACTCCTTCTCTGTTAGCTAGCATTCCTCTAGCAAGAAGAGCTTTTCCTAATGAACTAGAGATAC